ACAACATATTACTAGTTTAGCAATGTAAAATTATGTGAATAAATCTGTTTATTAGATATAATTCATCAATCACAAATATTACACCATCCCGCCCTTCCAAAGTCCATAATTTCTTCATGCAAAAAATCTGCGAAAATTTATGAGGAGAAAAAGTTCAGAAGAATTCACAGAGTACAATGGAGAAAGTTCCACTAGTATTAAAAACTGAACTAGTTAAGTGTAAAATCGATCCTTATCCAATGAGATTAGACACGAAACATTGTAATGTATAATGATTTATTTCATAATATTCCTTACAGATACTACGGTTTACGTAGAACATATTAACAAGCAAAAGAAAACTGTGAAATTATTATTCTATTTTTGCAATGTATAGAGAATTCTTTACGAATTAAACTTGAAATTCTGAAAAATATTGAATTGAGTTAAGGCAGAAAGTGTTATGCTTCTGTTTTGCTGGACTATCGAATATAATTTCCAAAGTTAATTCAAAGGTAAACTGACAAATATTGAAGTTAACACAGTTATAAGAAATATCTGTAGGAAAATATCTTGAAATCTGATGCCAAAACACTAAAGAAAAAAGTTTTATAATTACTAATAATGTTTTCCTTAACATTAACGTCGATTTTTTTTACTTTTTTCCTAGATACACACAATATACTTCGATTTATTTCCTAGGTACACACACTACACACTTATCTGCCCCTGGCAAGTATCAGCTGTTGACGGTTTCATCTAATCGGGAGCTTAAACGTTAGCAGTGGCATCACTATGGTGACGTTCAAGCTCGTAATTCGATGAAACTGAACACCTGATACCTGCCAGAGTCGGATAAATCGCAGTACCGTATCCAGTTTGTATAGGTCTGCTGCAGCAAAAATTGCGTTGCAGTATATAGTACGTATGCACTACCAAAAATGCTCATGAAAAAATCCCACAAAATGATTCTCAAAACCGTAGCTTTGCATACTCCTCAGATACCACAATTCAAATAATTTCGTAGCACTCTGTAAATTAAATGTTAACAAAAATATTCTTCACAAAAGCTAACGTAGAATAGTAGGGACCCACAGCCCAATACTTCATTAAGAGTATTAAGAATTAATGGGACGTCGTGGGTAGGAATATATCTCACAAGAAAACAGACACGAGTGAGTATGTACCACTGAATACAATTTTACATAGCTATTTGCAATATACAAAGTCCTCATTCTAAGGCGTTTTTCAGCGCTTACTCCCTTAAGCATCCCTCTCCACAAGCCCTTGCGGCGGCCCCAGCGAATAGCCAACTTGTCTTATGTGCCCTGGCAGTTGCAGCCTCTGCTCTGCAGTGGTCGGGAAGCTCTCAGCCCACGCCATCGTGCGCACAGCGCATGCGCGCAGCCGGGCAGCAGAGCCAAGAGCGCAGTCGGCGGGTGGCCGAACTACGCTCACTTCGCGCCAGGCCTCCTCCCCCTCCTGGTGCCCACAGGCCTGCATTGTTCGGGTGGCTATTTTACCTACCCTCCTCCCCATACCTTGCAAGTGCTTCGCTGTTACAGGATGACACAATATAAAAAAGTTGCTTCTCCATAACGCAACAGCTAAATAACAAATATTAAATGGTGGTCGGATTCTCACTTAGAGCCTTACTTTCAATTGCGAGACGGCATGTGAGTCGCAAGCAGTGACTCACGATGAGAATTAGCGAGGTACGAGTGTTATGAAAATAAAAAGATCACATATTTGAATGTCCAGGTAAAATGGAACTGTTTAATTGTTTTTGGTTACCCATCGAAACCGGTCTTCCTTCAGACGCTCGGAGACTGTTTATTTTCCCGACCGTCAAGCTTTGTTCATATCTAAAATTAGTAATAGAGATGAATTTCGAGCAATCGACAAACGATTGTAAGATATGACTAAAACAACGCAATGGGAATTTCTGAAATGCAAAGAAAAAGTTTCTACGGAAATAATATGATTGCTGCATACACAGTAAATGTGCCCGCTAGGAGGGCCCACTGTGAACGCCCCGGGCGCACCCGGGCCGGCGCCGTGGCCAGAATGAGCAGTTCCGTCAGGCGCCACCGAGGCAGCGAAGCGCTACGAAGAGAACCACCAGCAGCCCAGCGCTGCTTTCCCCGAGGCGAGAAAAGCGGAGACTCGCGCAGAGGGCTCCAGCCGGGGAAGCGGCAGAGTGCTTTTGGCATGTGAATTGTCGTAATGAGCGAGTGCGCTGGTACGTCGAGTTTGTTGACGTGGGACTCTGTCTACCAGTGATTCTCTGGTGAACGGTAACGACCGTGCGACGCTTGGGACATCTACTGGATTTTTTTGCGACTTTGCTTGTATTTTCGATTGCGACTTTTGGATTTCTTGCTGTTTGTAAATAAATACGTTGACAAACAACTGCTCGAATTCTAACCCTGGCTTTCCTATACATAACAGTTCTATCTGCCAACCAGGATTTAGCCATGAGGAATGTTTCAAGAAGTTTCCGGAAAATCAGCAGACTCTCAACCGACGCAACGGAAGCCTCACCTGCAAACACAATCAGCAGCCAGCTCTCCAAATTCCACTCAGAGAAGGAATAATGAAGTTCTTACTATGCTAGACGGACTGACAATTTTTTTGGACGGACGGCAGGAACGGACAATTTGTTCCCGTTCTAGAATGAAGCAAGGCAGTTCTCACAAAGACTGTGTTGCGTCTAGAACACAAAGCCTTTGCGCGAAGGCAGGTGGTCGCTCCCTCCCTCCGGAGGCGGCCGCTCCCGCCGGGTGCGCCCGCCGCACCCACAGCTGCCCACCCGCACCGCCGCCCTCTCCCTCGACCCGGCGGCCACCCACACTTCCAAGGGCTGAAGCTCCAAATAGCACGTCCGGAGTCAGACTTGCCGAGAACTCTTCGCGAGAGCTTAACGGCAGTTCTTCCCTCAAAGTCCTGCGACTTAGCGGCCAGAAGCACTGTTGCACGCTTACGCGACTACCTGACCGCCAGGCTGAGCACGCTCTGCGCGACGTGTGACGGGAGGGAGCTCCGCGAGTGCTGCATAACTCAATACGCGCAAGCATGCGGGCCGAGACGGAATAACACGACGCCAATCTCCGCGCGCTCGGCCCGAGGTGAGTTCCTGCGGAACTCTTTATAATTGTGCCTAGCGCTAGGATACTTCCCAGAGCTGGAAAATCGACGTATCCACTTGATACCAAAGCCTAACAAGGACCAATTCTGGCGAGGTTACGACATTAGTCTCTCTCGCTTCTTGCGGAAAGCTTTCAGCGGCCTGATCCTGGAGCGCCTGAACGGGAAATACGGCTCTTAAGCTTCTAGAGAGAGCAATGTCGAATTTTGAATTGATCAAGTTCCACGCAATAAACAGATCCTATGTACCGAGATTGGTCTCTCTGTCGCGAAAGACGGCAGAATTGCGGTGGTTTTCTAGACATGCGGTCGGCATTCATTCTGTAGCACGAGGGGGCTCGGGTGTTGCGGACTGCTACGGCAGACTAATCGCCAGTATTCAGATAGACATTCAAGGTCACGTCAATGCGTACATTCGTCCCAGACGAGCCGCAGCTGGCGTGCTCAAATGGAAGCTCTCTCCCCCCAACCCTATTCCGGTCCTGTACGTAACGACCGGCCGCTTCCTGTTGAAAAAATACCGGCATTCAACATTGCGGGCTCCTAATGTTCGCGGATGACTTCGCTTACTATGCGAAGTCGGCGGACAAAGGGAAATCGGTGAGATATCTGAATGATTGTCTCGCCGAGCTTCCCAAATGGCCGAGTCATAAAAAGCTAGTCCTCAACCTTGACAAGTGCGTAGCCGTCAACTTCACTCGACAGAGGGCCGACCCTGAGGAAGTGGTGAGCTTGGTAGGCACGCATCTACCCTGGCAAAAGACAGCGAAGTATCTTGTGTGAAGCTTGACAGCGGTCTCCGCTAGCACGCCCACGCCAAATACGTTAGCCAAAAAATAACTGCCCGAATCACCCTCCTAAGCCCACTCCTTCGACCCCCGAACTCCATCCTGCCCTCAAACGCCGCCTATTCACCGCCTGCGTGCGGTGCATTTGGACGTATGCCTGCGAGATATTCGCGGCGGCACCTCTCTCCTCCCTCCGTCCGATTCGCACGGCGGAAACCGTGCTGCACGCCTCGCGGCGAAAACCAATCGTAGTGTAAGTTAGTAAAGCCAAAGTGCAACTAAGTTACCTTTAGGGCTAGTATGTAAAACGTAGCTGTATGAAAAAGCCCCTCCTCTAGCTGCTTAAGCCGCACGGTTACTGCGGAGGGGACAAAGAAAAAAAACTTGCGAGAACCACCGAGAGAGGCGCAGGCCACACCGCCTGCCCAGCCCTTTTTCGCCAGCAGTCTCCCCGCACACGAGCACATTTCATGTTTTGCGCTTCGCGCACGTAAAAACGCTGTCCTTGGCACGTGTATTAAGTAGTCGTGAACCTGCCATCGGCGGGTACTACAGTGCGGTACGGACAGACACAACTCACACACCGTCAGTCACTTGCTGGCGAGAGAGTGTATGTGCCGCACGCACACTCCTGCTGTCTGGGCAAAATCATTAGAAAAATGTTTGGTCCAAAATTTACAGATGAGCAGTACAGACTCGGAAGCAAAAAAATTATACATAACAATATACGGATATTTAATGTCAGAAAAAGTAGACTCACTTCTTATGGACACTGCAAAGAAATGAATCGTCTTACCAAACAAATAGTTGAATCAAATGACAATATCTGTAACTCACGCTATAAAACGGATCAACGAAGAACCTTAAATTATCAGGGATCACAGAAGAAGACATTCAAAATAGGAACACATTTGATTTGAAGTGCAGTCATGGCAGATTGACTTGAAAGAAGTAGCAAACTATAAAATAGGAAGAGCTTGCCCCGAAGAGAGAAAAAGGCGCGTATCCAAATGATGAAAGAAATTTGGGCAGAAAGAAAGGCCAAGAAACACACCAGAGTACTTTGTGTAGTACCAATTGAGGTTATTAGCAATAATAATAATAATAATAATAATAATAATAATAATAATAAAAACCTTCTAGTATGCCCTTTACGTAGAAAAAGATGTAGGATGCATACATTTTTATTTTATCTTGATAATTCTTTGTGTACCACATTGCAAGCTCCTCAGCATCATCATATTTTATACGGCATGAATAACGTGTTCTTCACCAGGCCCAATAGGGCCCCAGGCTTCTGCACCAGTGGTATGTTTCGCATTTTCCCCATGACACGAATATGTACTTGTGAAAAAGGGCGAAGCAAAACTACTAAGAAGATTCAAACACACTGTGAAGAGTATGAAGTCGTCGATTAACATAAAGTAAAATACAATAAATGACTTAAATAAGAGAGGTTGTAATTATTATCTTAAATGTCTTATAAATTGTTGGTGGGAAAGGAAACATAGCTTTCATATTGAATTCTTAAGTTTTGAAAAATATGAAGATAACATTCCGCTGAGAAGAGACTTAAGCTTCGAACTGCATTCAACACACAAACACGGGAAGAACAACGTATTATCAGTTTCGAAAATCGAATTGGGTTTTTAATTAACGAAATGTAGAATGTTTTTGTATGATGTATACATTTGAAATAAAATAATTGTTCAATATTGTGTAGATATTCAGAGTTTGGTAGCCCTGTTTCAAAGTTTATATGACCTTGACGCGGGTCTCAGCTATTTCTCAACCTATATTGGTTACGGTTAAAATGCCTGTTTCTGGGGACTTTTATAACTGTAACCGTGTTCAATCCTGGATTGTTTCAAAGTAATGGATCTCCCCCTCTCTCTCTCCCCTCTCTCCCTCCCTCTTCTCTCTCTCAAAAAGGAAGATTGTCACATTAGGTTATCACACTAAAGACAAAGGGACATTGCAAAAGAAGGTAAGGAGTTTTCAACAAAATTATTAAATTGTTTATAGAACTGGCTGTGTTACACCCCAGCAAACAGGAAAATGTGGATGAAAATGGAAAACAAGTAACAGGAAGGACTTATTTTTGATAAGAAAATCAAAGGAAAACGTTAGACTCCCTTGTATTGATCTACAAACACACTTGGCCCGAAGGGAAAAGTACATTGATGCACATGTAGAAAGGTAGCCGTTGCGAGCTGAGCAATACTCTTGTATCATTGAATTTAATGTATCTCTTCGTAGAATACATAAATTTCAGGAAACAATCGTATTACGTAATGTGTTCAGTGGAATTGAAAGCTTGTTACCATACTTCCATTTCAATCACTGGAAATAAAAGAAATATGTTTTTTTCTTTCCGAGAACATTTCTTTTTTAAACATTATATTGCAACACGTTTTCATCAACGTGCATTTATGCATCACCTTTAACTCGTGAAAAGGCCAGGAGAGCTCAAAATGTCTACTAGTCATCATTACCCCACTATTTTCAAGAAACCTCACTGTTCACACCGACACCAAAACGAACTGACGAACGCGATACTCTGGGACCGCGTTGCCCCTTCGCTTTAACTGGAACGCGGCGAATTCTTTAGGCGGTGCCCTGTTTATTAATCCCCGATCCAAAGGCTTCTCGGGCGCAAAAAGGGAAGCGAATCTTTTTCGCTCGCGCGTCGCGTCACGTCGCGTCGCGTTGCCTCCCTCGGCGGGCGATGGAGCGGCAAGGAACCCCCCCCCAGGGGGGCGCAGCCCTTAAAGGCGACGGCGCAACCGCCGAGCCCGAGACGACACTGCTCCCGCGCGCCGTCTTTCAATGGGGCGGCGCAGCACGCGAAAACGTCTCGTCTCGTCTCGTCTCCTCTTGTCTCCTCTCGTCTGTAAGGCATTGTACTTCTCTAATGAAATCCACGTGGAAAAGTTGGGCTGCTCCCGGCAGGCTCCAGTCTTCTGTTTGTCGCCCGCCCTGTCCTCAACTCAGCCCGCCTCGCCCCGCCTCTCCACGCACCCTTTCGCCCCTCTACACCCCCGCCACGTCCCACCACGCCTCGCCTCGCCTCGCCTCCACCACTCCCCGCGACGTCACGCCCAGGCCTACCCCTCCCAGCCCTGCACCGCCTCACCACTTCCCGGCCACGCCCCCTCACACGCCTCGCGCCCGCCACTCTCCGCCCCACACTTGCGCCGCGCTGCTGAAGGAGCCCAACTCCCGCTGATCAACAGTTTGTCTTTCGTTTCACAGTCTGCAAACCTTCAAAACGATTCACGAGATATCGGAAAATCGACTCCTCCTATGTTTTACTAAATTAGACAGGAGGAGAAAAATATATTTCAATAAAGAGTTTAGAGATCAATTTGTAATAATGACTTACTTCATTACGTAATTGAAACTTCTAATATTACATTCAAAAGTGAACGACAATTATTGGTTATTTTGTCACCAAATGAGTTGCAATGGGTTTCAACACATGACTCACTTCAATGTTGTAATAAAAGGATTGGCAATGACCGATTTGTTAATTTTTGGGATTTTTAATCAATGCGGGATATTTCAAAGGAATATTGCAAGTGTTAGAAGAAATAATGTGTGCAAAATACAAATGAATCTGCTTGTTCATTATCAATCGTTATGAAATGTTTTATGTTTTGAAATTGAAACCTTTTTCATTCACATGTAATATTTCATTCAACTATTCTTTCAGAAAGCTTGCGATCCTTGCAACAAACCATGGCAGCCTTAGTTGGCAATACCTGAATTGGTCGCTCCGCGCCGCGCCGCGCGCGATGGCGTGAGTTGGTGTGCCCCCTGCTACTGCCCGGTGACCTTGTATGTCAGGTCTTGCCCGCAGGATATCGCGTTGGCCGCTGAGCCTCGTGTGCCAACACTGGAATCGCACCTCGCCGCCACTTTGTTACGGTCACACCGCCCAATGCAAGTCCTGCTAGTCTTTGATAGTGGTAATTTGCACATGGTAATACTCCTGTTCGCCATTCACTGATTTAGTTTTTTCACTGTTTCAACTGCGGCATCGAAAATGTCACATAAATTTGTCTAGTATCCCTAGACCTGCTGCTTCTAGTCCAACCAACTCCTTCGTTTGTGGTAACTCGCCATGTCCAATGGCGTCTGAGCTCGCCTCACGATGCACTGTCCACGTGTCCCGCACTTATTTCGTTCAAATCATTAACGTCTTCTCACCACTTCGCAGATCCGGCTTCCACACGACGTTTCCTTGTTAACTTTCGAGGCCCCTCTCCACTCGATGTCTCCAGATTTCTACCGTAATAATCTCGCCTCCATTTTGCACGCCGATCGCGTTCGTGACTTCGAATGTACTGGGCTCTCTCGCCGCTTCTCGCGCGCTGTCTCGCCCGCCTTGGACCCGTTCATCAGGAGCGTGAAACTTGGAGGTGAAAACGGGGTAATGATTTTTGCGCCATCTACCGTAGGCGAGTAGTGGGCCAAACTAAACGTGTGACGTCATGCAATTCAAAACGTTGGCAATGTAGAAGGTGGGTTTGATTCGTTACGTGCAGATCACGTGTTGCTGTGGTGTTTTCTTTTCAAATTTGTCAGCATTTTGTTAGCATTTAGAATGTGAAATCTTTCAAGTATGGTGTATCGTGACGCGATATTTATTTGCTGTGTCTAAAACTTAGTTTTCGCTTTTTTGGAAGATGATATTGAGAAGACTGTTGGTAGACAGCACATCGCCCTACCATCAGTGGAGGTATTTATAATTAATTTTGATACCTTAGCACATTTTTGTATTTGATTATTTCTTATGTTCACCATGCATTATAAATATTCTTGAAAATCTTTGCATATAGATTGTGCATAGCCCGCTAGTATGCTGTGGATAGTGTAACCTATATTGATTATATGGGTCATTTATTCCGTACTATTTTTTAAAATGTATTCAAATTAGATTATTTATTTCCAACTGATCACTTCGTATGGTATTCGGAAAGTTATGTAATATATCCATTGTTTCTCAAAAAATTATCATTTTCAAATATTTATATTCATTATTATTTGCATTTCTAAAATATGTATGCTCTTATTAGATTATGATAAAATATAATTCAATTACTTTTATTAGGTGTACGAGTTACATTTCTACGAAGAGGCATATCAAATTCTATGATTTGAAGAGGACTGGCAAGATAACATCAAATTTGACTTCAGTACTAGAGTCAGTATTGTACCAACACAGCATCCTACATGCTCAGGTCACTTGTCTTCCCAAACAACATTCCGAGAAGATAATATTCCTAAGTGTGCCAGTGAAGAATTTTTTTACTTGGAAGTTGCAATTGCGCCTAGTGTGAATGATGAAATGTATTATAGACAAATATATTAGTTCAGTAGTATAAGTATTGGATAATAGGTGCATTGTTTAGAAACTAGCCTAACAAGCAAGTAGAAATTTGTAAAATAAGCAATCAAACTAATTTGGAGTATATAAACCGTTAAAGAATTTTTGGATTGTGTAATAAGTGAATCTAGTATAATAAAAAGTTATATCTAATTATCTAAAGTTTATTTTGAAAATTAAAAATGTTACAACCAATGTCTAATGTGAGCAAAAAATGTTTTCACATACTTCAGCGCTCCAAGACATCAATATTAAAGATATCTTTTTAATTAAATGAAGCCAATATGAATTATCTGGACATTCGTTCCTAGATAAATATTATTTACAGCTATATTAAATATCTAATCCAGTTTTATTGATTGTACTGCTAAAATTCACCAGAAACAGTCAGAAGTTTTCAAAGAGCTTACCAGTCACCAGAAAATAATTCAGCCTCATTCTGTTTATTTGGAGGTCGCAATGATAGTAGTTCCTGAAGAAAGTATAAATATAACCATGATGTGCTCAGATGTGCAGTTCTAGTAATCTAGTCAAATTACTAGAAATAATCGAAAATAATACACTGACCTAATCACAAGAAAATGTGGCAGAGTTATATAATTTAGAGTAAAGATATACTCACAACTAAAAAAATGATCTGCCTAAACATTTGGAGAAAGAACAGCACAAATTCCAATTATTATAACTTTCACAACTTTTCATTTAAAAGAACAAAATGCAAGCGCCGTCTTTAAAAAGCTTCTGCTGGTAAATCATTTCATGCTTTTTGCACCTGTATACCATACTTGTATCATAAAAACAAATGTGTTTTCTATTATTTTTTTAATTCACAGCTTGCCATGGGCTTTATTTCATTTTAATTGCAATGTAACTATTAAAGGCAAGTATGAAAAATTTACAACAAAACAAAAACAAAATGCAATACTTGAACCAGAATGGTTTTATTAAGTGATACTTTTTCACAAAAAATTTGTAATTTTATCTTAAAATAATGATTTTTCTGTTGTTTTAAAATTCTACATTGGAATTATTTATAATCATTGGGATGTTTTTTTAAAAAAATTTATCTTTCAAATGTATATAATTCCATTTAACTTCTAAAAGATTTAAACTTTCAATTGAAATATTTTTTCTTTCTTTTGTTTCTTTGTATACAATATTATTATTATTATTATTATTATTATTATTATTATTATTATTATTATTATCCAACTAAGGTTTCATTAAGGGCAAGGGCCTCTTTCTTTTAACAGGGAATTGTGAATGAAGTGATGGAGTGAGCGGATGAAAGGACTAGGATGATGGTGGGAAGTGAGTATGGCATTTTTGAACCATCCCAACATTTGCCTTATGACCGAGGGAAAACACGAAAAAACCTGGTCAGGATGGCCGGCCAGGGAATTGAATCTGGACCTCCCGATTGCGAAATCAGTGTGATACTATGCAATATAAATGTTGGTAATAATATAATAAAGTATAGAAAATTATTGCATTATGTCATTTAAGATTTTTTAGTCTTTTTTGTTAATTTTAACAAATTCCTTAACTGTAATTGCTTCATTTACTAGTAAACGTAATTATTAAACGTTTTTGATGAAACTAAATATTCACGATTAATCAAAACAATAAACAAAATCATGAATAATGAGATTTTATTTTATTGGAAATAACATGTAGCATAAAGATATTACTTATCCATACATATTTAATAAATTCATTCCTATAATATTCATATAAAAATTAATTCTTATATTTGTAAAACTGTGATTTCAGTTATAAATTCTGCAGGAAAAGCTAAAAGTGACCCTCCATTTTACTTGTGACGCATTCTGATGGTAATCACTTTCTGTAAAATGTTCAAAACAAATATGTACAATTTTTACTTAATTCCTAGATAATCCTTCAACAGATGGTAAGAATGAATCATTATTTACTATTGGATAATTGTTTTAAGTCAATAAATTTATGTTAAGGTGGCAAAATGATATAAGACACTTTTTCATGCCATGAGACACAAAATGACGAGTCATTTTTTGTTAATGTTCAGAAGTAGGTTATTTCTCTTGTAGTTTATGAAAAAACAATGCTGGCAAATTGCAGTACGACAAACGTCACAGAATATTTTTTTATGACCTTTTGATGCTTAAATATGCTGTAATGGATAATGTATGAAAAGTATCTTATAATATTTGTCCATCTAAGCATAGAATTGTTCTATGTGTTCTACATGTTCTAGAACACTCATTTGAAGATAAACATGACATAAATATTTCCAATGATTTTCTACATTTTTTAAAGCTTTATTTTTAATAATTAAACTAAACTAATTTTTAAAATGAGTAACAATCATTCATTAGAAATTGAGAGAAGTAATTGCGTTTATATTTATTTTTATTTAAATTCTTCTGTTACTTTTGTACAATAGATTTTAACCTATATTATACAACAACAACTCCCAATTTTTTTATAATCGTGTCTATAAATTAAGATTCGCGCAAACAAACTTATCAATGAAATTCATCATCTACTGCAGGCCTGATTCTGTTTAAGCAGTTAAGTGACTCAAGAATAATATTCCGAGAGATCCTGCATTCCTAGGTTTTTTATCACTATCACAATTGTTTGAAGTTTAGAGCAGTCTTGGAATCTTCCTTGACTCTTTTAATACAATCCTACCTTTTCAACTTTCTTTGTTGCCTCTGTAATTGTTTCTCTCTGGATACAATCCACAACAAATCTAAAGAGATGGGTTTCCAAGGATAAGAACTAAGATAAGTGGAAATTTGCAATAAGAGGTAAATAGTTTAACAAGTATCAGCATTCCAATATTTAGGCAACCATATTGGACTAAATATTCAATACTTGTAATATACATTTTTTAAAATAAAATGGTATAAATGGAGTAATTAATTCCTTGACCACTTTGGCTATTAATGAAATTAATATTTGTAATTTTTATTTTAATTCTCATATATAATTATATCAAAAAATTTGAGCCTTAGACAAAGTGAAATATTGGCGTTGTAACATCATTTGTTTATATCATGTTCCATTGGTGGTGTATTCAGGCAACAATAATGTTAAGTGTTTTGGTATAGACATTTGTGAAGGATTTAGCTTTTCCTTTCTTCCTTCCTGTTTCCTATTACGGATATGGAATATGGAGACATTTGTGTAACACATATTTTTCCACGCTTTTCTTCATCTACATATTTGTTTCATAGCCTATTTAAGAATTATTATGATATGCTACCAAATAATTATTGTTAGTGAAATAGTGAAAAATTTATTAGTTATATTTCCACATACAATTTTAATACCCTTTATAATCATGTGGCGTCGTTAACACGAGGGCCAGAACCGTTAGGTTGGTGAAAGTACGCTGCGGGGGAGGAAGGAGGGGTTAAGCCTGAACATCCGGGAGTTTGCGCTCGGGCGGTTGACTCAGGTAGTGCCGCAGAGCCAAAAATACCGGAGGCTGTAAACTCCGAGGATGCTGCCGGCGAGCCTCGTTTACGGAAGCAGGCAGCCAACCTGAGAACTCTTTGTGTGGGCGTAAACCAAAGGCTGGCCTGCGAGCCTCGCGCCAGCCGGCGAGCCTATCTATGGAACAGTGGTGGGGGTGTCAGCCTCAACTATTTAACGCGGCGCCATCTGCGCCCGCGTTCTCATTCAGTTTGCATCGGGTAGCTTGTACGTGTATGTACAAGGAGGGTGTAGGAGTGAGGGCGAGATGTCCGGAGAGTAAGGGCCAGACAATCTCACGTGCTGTAGGCACACGGTCGCCACGACCGGGTTAACTTTTGGCGTCAGGCCATGTGACGGTAATTGTCACGGGACAGAGGTCCGACGGCGCGCATCACGCGTGGCTTGTATTTTCTGCGGTAAAGCAGTGTTCCGAAAGGAAAAGGTTGCCGGAGTGTTTTAATATTAGCAATTCATTGTAACTTGTACATAATCTTTGAATATATTATTTTTATTTTGTTATTGAAATTTATTTCTTATTTCACTACGTCACAATCATTAATATTAAATTTATCAATCAGCGCCGCCTCCTGGGTCCACCCCCCCCCTACTCGCGACCCCCAGCGGTTCCCGGTTACTTAACACACAACTGTAACTAGGGATTTTGTATTGCCAGTTGTTTTTAAGTTGTTTCTGCTGTTATTGCCTGTTGTTTCTTTATGAGCAGAAATATTAAGACTTCTAATTGCACAAACATAGAAATTATATTTTTACCAATTATTCGATATGGATTGAAATCACATCAATTACAAGTGAAAGAAGATGATCTAGTTCCAAATATATTTTTCTTAAAACAGGTTTAAATTATTCGTAATAATTATTATAGTTTATAGAAACATTTACATTGTGATTATTAAAGTTTTAAATCCGTGAAAGAGCGTTATGATCACAGCCGTCGCGCTCAGGTTTGCTGCCCTGATGCAAGTACATTTTGCCACTTTCAAAAAGAATACTTTAACTACATATTTTTAATTGTAGAAAGTTTTTTTAAAAATATTATTTACGAAAGTTTATTATATATTTATTAAATAAAAAATTAAATGTTAACAATATTAAATAAGGCACTTTTCGAACATTCAAACTTTTATTTTTTTATAACACTGTCTAAATAACTATTGGTGCCCATATCACTTTCAATTGATATCATTGACAGATCCGTTAATATTTATTGCGACGTGGTTGATCGTACTAACCTGGCAATGTTAATAAAATTTGTAATACCAGAGGAATATTATGGAATGATTTAGTTAATTTATATTGATACACGAATTGTAATGGTTCAATTGGTGTCGATTTTGATTTGAAAAATGTCATTTTATCTAGTATATATGCAAGTTCTATTGCTTTCATCTCTGTAATTAGTTTAAACAGTCATTTTAAATTATAGAATCATACAAGTGTTCAATATGTAGGTGGGTTAAAAACCCTGAGGCACCTGACGGATTCGAGAAAATGAGGCCTCTCATACACACACACACATATTTGATTCAGTGATAAATAAAGATTTATAAATTGTATCTGTATTATTACCAATAAATAACCCCAGTATTGAACCAAGAAATGTAGAATTTGCTGGAATTTTACCCTTGTGTTGTAACGGGACTGTCGCACGCCTCTGGTGGCGACGCGTATTTTATAAAACTATAAGTATAACGTAAAAATTATGAGTATAACGCACCTGCGAAAGTTGTGCCAGGAAATGTGCTATTTTTCTCTACCTGCATGGCCTTTCGGGGTGTCGGGGACACTAAGGAATCCAGCCCTTTTGTCTCGGCGCAACCCACGCCAGGCCGCATCCGGTGACTCATGGGAAAATACGAACGCCGCTACCTTCGAGCGAGGCATCGCCGCTGCGCCCTTTTCTCGGACCTTGACGTTCGAATTTCCCCGAGACAGAGCGGAAGAAACAGCGTGACGCGCGTTTCGCGTTTCGACGAGCGTTTTTGAAAATTGTTTTTATAAATTGCAGTAACTTCAATCATATATTATATAAAAACTTGATTTTTAACAAAAAATGCAAATGACCGTACTTAAAAAAATAGTTTTTTAGAACTGATTAACACAAAAATCTTCACCATCAGCTTTGAGCTTTTGCCGTGTTTATGTTTTGCAGTTTTGAAAACTGCAGAGAGTTTGATTTTGCAATATTCTTTGCTCCTCGTGAAAACAGGACCAAGACTATTTTTTACCTCCCTTTGCTACGTATGAGTAAAAATGGAATAGCTTTTGAGACAATAATTGTTTAAAAATTGCTTATGTTTCACGCAAAACTACGTGGACGTTAGTTACATTTTCGAAAAGTTTTACTTGATCAAGATCTTGTTAACGATCTGACTTTCAACTAGATTTTATAAAGAAAAATCTAAGTAGTTGTAGAAAGTTGCCAAAAAGTATCGAACTTTGGCAATTCTCAAAAATCAGGAACTTCAACAAAAAAGATTCGTGCCAGTTTTTTTAATAGTTCGTTGCTCAAGAACTCTTTTTCATAAAACACTGAAGCCATTTTGAGAAAATGTCGAAAATGTTGAGTCTTCGTGTTACGTACTGCAAAAAATCGACATATTCGTTTCCAATTTGCAGGGCCTACAGTTCCTCCAGACCAATGAGTGAATATCAATCATTTTCAAGAAAACCGTCTGAAAAGTTTAGGCGCTAGTGTTTACCACAGACAGACGAAAGGACGGACAGAACAATGCTGCCCTATCAACTGCTTTGTTTTTTTTTACAAGTGACCGGTGAAATATGCAACGTTTTGTATCTATGGTTATATTTCTTCGTAGTTAACTCGCAGGGCTAAAATTGTATTGCTCCTTGGTAGGTATTTTACAAATTTTGTTTTGTTTCACAGTTTTAAATAAGGATTCCAATTTTTGCCGCCCAGGCATTTTCTCTCGAACCAGGGTCACGACTGGCTATGATACACCGTATTACATGACTGCAACCGCATTTGGATACAATATGGTGGAGAGCGCAGTATTCAATTTGTTACGCTAGGGCTCACTCCTCACCATAGGAGTAGTGGGCCTTGGATTGAACACATTGGATTGAACTTAAGAACAGAAGAATAACATTTTTATATTCACGCTCCACCCCGACTTCTTCAGATTACTTTAAATAATTACTGCCAGTTATCATAACTATTTTATTATCATAATTACTACATTGATGAAAAAAACATTTTTTGTACACAGAAATCGACGAAAAAAACAGAATTTTTTCAAGAGCGTAGTGCATTACCAAAGTTGAAGACACTTTATATTTAGCTTCTGAGAAGCATTAATGCTGAACTGGAAGAAGTAAATTAAAAACTAGGGAAACAATGGCTTGTGCAGAAGATAAACACAGTATTTATAAATACTATAGTAACAGAGCAGCATTTTGGTTATTCTACATTTTTTGTTGCCACGTGTTCTTTTTCTGATCTTGTGTGTGTCTGATCTGACGATAAAAATATATTTTCCGAAACGTTGGCGATAATCCATACAGATAGGCTTTTCCACTGACCAAGTCCCATACACCAGACTTCATGATATTAATACTGCCTGTAAATACAAAAGTTGCATTTTCAATACTATTAAATTCATTAATGACATGGAAATGAATATAAAAGTTGCAGATTATTTCCAATAAAAATATTTTAACCAGTAATGTAACTGCTCAAGAACACAGCCGCATTTATTATGTATTTTGACGCACGTAACCAAGAGTTTAAATCCTCTCTTTTGGAGAAGAGATTTACATCATCTGTGAATAGTGTTACATTAAATAACTGCACGGTTTTTCACCACCGAATTCTAAGAAACAAGAATATTTCAATTATTTATTAACTTGTAGGAAACTATCATATTAGTAATTTCTATTCAAAAGGATATTCGCCAAAAGAACAAAAATAATGAAAATTGGGAAGATAGTAAACAAAGTATGGATTGAGAAAAGAACTTTAGTCATTTATAAAGACAGTTCTTGTCACTAAAATAATTTTCTTTATATCCATAAGTATTCAAAAAACATAATAAGTGAAATAACGTCAGATAGGTAGACGTTTATTGGTGCAACCTTTTTTAGCCACAGATTTCTAGCACAATGACTGGAAATAAAATGGCTGAGAGCAATGTGCCTGTTTGTGTAGCTTCAATATTCAATATTTATCTAAACGCGACAAAATGCCTTGGAATTCGCCTTAACGGACTACACCTAAGACTAATTTTTCCAAGAACATAATTTCCTGCGAATTAATGAAGTTGGGATGTTGCTAACAAGGAATACGTATCACTTCACTTAATTCCGGAATTAATAAAGGATTATACAGAATCCCCAAGTCAAACACTAATTCCCTCCAACCTGAAAAGCAGCAGCTTGCTCCATAGCTCCGGCTGTACCCAGCAAACAGCGACATTTCATTTCGTCGGCATCTTCGCCGATAGCCATCGATCCACTGATAGCATCGCAGCGGCGGCCCCCGGCTGCAGGTTGGGCGGCCGGGCGCACAAGATCAACAACTCAGCGCGCTACGCCTCACGCGGAAAATCTATTGCCGTATCAGAAGTTCCGAGTAATATTTGCTTTGAAAGCTAATTTCATTAGCCCGAAGATTTCCATTCCGCCGAGCGGCGGGGGTGGGCGGGGCGGTGGAGGCGGTATGGGCAGGGGGCCGGGGGTGGACAATGGATGCGGTTGCGG